ACCTTCCAAAACTCACAAGATTTTGTTCTGGAAATTACTTGGAATTACCATGCCTTTGGAAACTTAAGATAAGCAAGTGCCCTATGCTGAAGACTTTCATCTCTAGCTTTATTTTTGGAGATATGATAGTCAGTTCTGAAAATGTTAAAAACAATTGTACACTTTCTCTCTTTGACGCAAAGGTGATTTTTCCTTTTTTTACCCCTTATTTTTTACTTTTTAATGTCTTATAATGCTATTATTATTTTTCTCATTGTCAAAAAGTTTTATATTTTTAAAAAATTAGATCCCAATATTTTTCATTCCATTACATCTATGATTGTATCTAATTTTAATTGAATCATGTAAATCTTTAGGTGACATTTCCCAAATTAGAGTTATTGGTAATTGAACATGTGAAGAACTTGAATAAGATATGGAACGACCAAATTGAAGTAGATTCTTTTTGCCAACTAACTTTGGTGAGTGTGGTTTCATGTGAAAAGCTATTGAATATTTTCCCATTTAGTATGTTGGGAAGGCTTCAGAGACTAGACAAGCTCCAAGTATGGAATTGTGATTCACTTGAAGAAATATTTGAGTCTAAAGAACCTAGTGTTAGCCAATCACAAGCTCAAAAGCCCACTCCGCTACCTTTGTTGGAAACTGTCACATGCTTGGAGGATGATGTGAAGGATGAGATTGTATTTAGCAAACTCAAGTATTTGCAACTTTGTGGTCTACCTAGACTTTCAAGCTTTTGCTCCGTTAAATGCAAGTTTGAGTTCCCATTTTTGGAAGAGGTGTTTTTGATGGATTGTTCCAGTATGCAGACTTTCTCTATGGATGAAATAAGAACGCCAAAACTGCAGAAAGTAAAATTGCCTGGAGATGAAGATGAAGGCTTTTGGGATGGCAACCTAAACTGGAACATACAACTACATTTCATGCAAAAGGTATGCATTAATTCAAAAGATCTCTTTATGGTTTTCTTCTTTTAAATTCTATCTATTACTCTTTTTGTTTATTACACAAAATCTTCATTTAGAGTCTTTAAAATAACCAGAAAAACTAAAAAGGTATATATGAATGCTTGATAGATCATGATTTTGGAAAGGAAATTTTTGCTATAAATTTTCTTTCACCTTTAGTATTGTGTTGTTTTTATGTATGTAGAGTCAAGGTGATTCTGAAAATTGAGATCAAAGAAATTGCAGCTCATGTCCTTTCCAAGTGATTTTTGATGGTGAGTTCGTCTTATGCTTCCGTCATCTCTACACTTGATTGATAAGGGTACATCTCTTGTTTGATAAGGCTGCTTTCTTAGTTCGTTGCAGGTCTGAATGGTGTACACGTAAGTTGGATGTGCGGTTGTCACATTGCTTGGTGCCCAGAATGTTGCCTCACTAACTAAAATTGATCCCTTTTTTCTACAAAAAAAATAAAAAATAAAAAGGGAAGACAGATCTTTTCTATTTCTCGTACACTTGTGCAACTTATGTATTATCAAATTCATGCAAAGCCTTTAAATTCATGTGCTGTTTTATAGTATTAAAGAGAGAATATTCTTCTAGAAAACAAATGTTGCTTTCTTATATTTACTTGTATGATAGAAGTACATTTCTTATACATATGGAACTATATATATTGAGTGGTTGCTTTTTTAATTCCTATCAAGTCTGGATGGTGCACTCATAAGTCATAAGTATGGTGCACTCATAAGTCATAAGTTGGATATGAACTTTGCGAAGCTGCCATATTGCTTGTCAGCAATATTAAATTGTCTATTGTTTATCGTGTTTTAAAGAGAAAGAATATTCAGAAGACAAATATTAATTAATGATTATCAATTGGGTTCTACTGTACTTCGGTTTTAATTAAATTATGGTTTGCTCATTTTGATGGGTTTGCTATTTTGTTTCTTTTACACACAAGACAAACCATAATTTTAAATCTAAATTTTAGCTTTCACATGCACAACAGATTTTGGCACCTCATAGGTTTTCTTTTCTTTTGTGATATCTAGATCCTTTGGAGATTCACTTTTTTTTCCTTCATGTATGATAATAGGCTAAACAAGATGGGACAGCATTAGAGATGTGCCTTTGCATACTTAGAGCGCACTACCTTCCTTACAGATGACTCTTTAAGTAATGTTTTTTAGCAACAGATGAGCTTACACTCCTTGCAGTTTCCCATTTAACTTTTGGATGTAATTTAATCTAATGCTTTTTACACAGCAAATGATTGAGAATTACAAAAAATTTTTCTTTTCATACATAATTCTTTTAGGCATATCAATTCACACCCAATCATGCATGATTACCATCATATAGACTGAATCTAGATATAATTGTGTGAATAATGTTTTCAGCATCCTCAAATTTTTTGCCAACTTAACGTCAAGCCGTCAAAGCAGAAAAGAAAATTCAACCTCATTATATTAATTCTCCTTTTAGATACTTAGCTGAAAAATTACGGACATGGAAATTGGAATGGTAAAATCAAGCAAACTTATATCTCCAATGATATCAAATACCAAACACAAATCACCAAGTAACAAATACCCCTTTCAACCATCAGCTACATGGTATAGTGATAGAATTACTTATACTTTTAATCACAAGTTTAGGGTTCAATCCCTAATATAATAACAAACATCTATCACTTGTTTTTGAGGTCAAGATCAAGATTCAAATCCAGGCAATAACTAACAAGTCATGATATAATAGGGTACCAAAGGAATGCCATCCCTTCATCAGCTCATCATAATCAAACAGTAGTCAAGATGATTTAGAATTTAGATGGG